ACCCCTGTGGGATGAGCCCAGGGCTGGGGTCAGACTGGGCTCTGGAGGGTGAGGTGTGCCATCTCCCACTGTGGCCTCCCTCCCTGAAGCAGGACTGCTCTGCCCATCTGTGGGGCCCACGGGCAGAGACCCCGAGGCCATTCAGGAGCATCAGGGCTGGAACAATGCCTCCAGCACCTCCAGGGTGAGGGTTCCCTGCTGCGCTCCTAAAGGAGCCCACTCTCCTTTAATTCTCACGCCAGCCCCTCTGGCCTGTGCGGGTTCAGGACCAGCCAGCACCCCCTGGGACTCCTTGGGGACCCGACCCCCACACTGCAGGTGGATTTCCTGCCCCACTCATCTGCCAAGGTCCTTACGTTCTTTGGGCTTGTACTGAGTCAGGCTGCGAGAGAAAGAGAGGAGAGGCGATTAGACGCGGTCTGAGGGTCCCTCACACCCCGCAGTCCCGCCCCAGCAGCCCCCGCCCCGCCCCGCCCCGCCCGGTCCAGTCCGGGCCGCTCACTGGGCGTCCTCGCCCTCCAGCAGGCGGCGGTAGGTGGCGATCTCCTGCTCCAGCCGCGTCTTCACGTCCAGCAGGATCTTGTACTCCTGGCTCTGCTGCTCCATCTCGCAGCGCAGCTGGGCCAGCTGCTCCTCCACGCTGCTGATCAGGCCCTGGATCTGCGACAGCTGCACGCAGTAGCGGTTCTCCGTCTCCGCCAGGCTGCCTTCCAGGGATGCTTTCTGCAGGGGCCGGAAGGGTGGTCGGTGAGGCCTGCAGGGCCTGCTTCTGCCCTGGGCCCTCCACCCCCACGCACAGCTGCGTGCCCACCATGCTGAGCTGGGACTGCAGCTCGATCTCCAGGGCCTGCATGGTGCGACGGAGCTCGGAGATCTCGCTCTTGCCGCTCTGCACCAGCTCGCTGTTGGTGGCCACCTCGCGGTTCAGCTCCTCGGTCTGCAGAGAGGAGGGACGGCTCCACTGAAGTCAAGCTGCCCCTCACTCGGTTCCCAGTCTGGCCTCAGCACCTCCCTGACCTCCCCGCCCCCCCTCCCCCCAAGCTGTGACTTCACCCAGCCTCCAACCTCCCAAGCCCAGGAATTTGCTCTGCAATGTGCTCCCGTTGTTAATCCCTGCAGGTGGGAGGCAAGGAACCGGAAATGTGAGAACGGGCCGCGGCGTGCAGCCTGGCCCCAGGCCTATTCCAGACGTCCCAGGGAGAGGCGGAAACTCCCTCTGGGGTACTCTGCCCTATTCCAGGGGGCTCTCCACACCCCCACCCACGTCCCAGCTCCAGCTCTGCATGGGCGATGGCAGCCCTCGTCCCCCAGAGGCCTTGGGGCACCCCTCAGAGGCCGAGCAGCAGCTGCCACCAGGGCTCAGGCCCTGCCCCCGCCCGCCCTGCAGCAGCCCCCACCTTGCTGAAGAACCAGTCTTCAGCGTCCTTGCGGTTCTTCTCTGCCATCTTCTCGTACTGGTCGCGCATCTCGTTCAGGATGCGGCTCAGGTCCACGCCGGGGGCCGCGTCCATCTCCACGTTGATCTCACCACCCATCTGGCCGCGCAGGGCGTTCATCTCCTGTGGAAGCGACACCTGCTCTCAGGCCCCAGCCTGCCGTCCTACCCGCCCCTTCGTTAAACCAAGCTAATTCTCAGGGCTGTGATCCCCAAAATTGCTTGTCTACTAACTTCCAAACAACCCTGGGGGGCTTCAGGGCTTCAGACAGGAGCATCCCACTTGACTAAGCCAGTGCCTTCCCTGCCAGCTCCAGGCCCTGGCCGCAGCTCTGCCCCAGCGCCTCCTGCCACCCTGTCACCTCCTCGTGGTTCTTCTTCAGGAAGGCCAGCTCCTCGTTCAGGTTCTCGATCTGCATCTCCAGGTCGGCCCTGGACAGGGTCAGCTCGTCCAGGACTCTGCGCAGCCCGTTGATGTCAGACTCCACGCTCATGCGCAGGGCCTGCTCCGTCTCGAACCTGCACAGGGAGCCAGAGCTCACCCAGGCTGTTTGGGCTGCAGGTCGGGTCCCCCTGCCCTTGCCCTCCACAGCCTAGTTCTCAGGACCTATGCGGGAGGATGCTGGGCACAGTGGGAGCAAAGCCGGTCCTGGGCTGGGAGTACCCTGAGATGAGCTCCCCTCCCACCTCCCCCACTGCAGGATGAGCCCTGACTCCTGGCCCCAGTGCTCTGCCTGCATCCTGCACCCCTCACTTGGTACGGAAGTCATCCGCAGCCAGCCTGGCATTGTCGATCTGCAGCAGGACATTGGCGTTATCCACACTAGCCACCAAGATCTGGAAAGACCAGGAGTGAAGGGGTCAGCCTAGGAGGAGGGGCCAAGCCCTGACCCAAGTTCTGAGTCCGCTTCCTGCCTGGAGCCAGGACACACCCTTCTTCCAGCCCAGCCTCTCCCCTACCCATTGCCTTTGCAGTCTGAGAGGCTGGAGCCACCTGCATCCCTGTCCCCCCAAATATGGGGACCCAGGGCCCCATGCCGGCTCAGCCTGGAAGTAGAGGCTGCAAGGATACAAAGGGGGCGGGGCCAGGAAAAGCAGAGAGGATGGGGGGGCAGAAGCTATCCCAGGATTCCAGGGAGTGGGGACAGGCAGGGAGCCCCATTGGACAGTGGATACATGGTGCTCCTGACCCCCTTGAGGTGGCAGGAGGAGCTCTGGCCCCAGTGGCTCCACATCAGGAGCTGGACCCTGCTAAGCCGAGACTCTTGGCTCCAGCGAGCAGCCACGCCCCCGGGGTCTGCTTAGCCCATCTTACGGGGCAGAAGGAGGAACAGGATGCCAGGGGGACCCCTGGTAAGGCCCAGCAGAGTCCTGGCTCACTTCGAGGCTCAGCCCCTCCTCCCACAGGTGCCACATGCAACCCCTGACCCCACTGTCACCCAACCCCTCCCTCCTGCTGACCCTGCTACAGAGGACAGGGAGTCACACATCCAACACCCCGCATGGCCTAGAGGCTCAGCCCAAGGCCACACGCACAGACTGGGAGCTGTAGGGGCTCCCCAGACCCGCCCAGGTGGAGCTGAGTGAGGTTGCTCCCAGATGCCCCCAGGCTGGGCTTCCTCCAGGGCAGCAGTGGGGAGAAGCTGAGGTCCCTTCCTCTGGCCGGCCGGCCAGCCCACCTTGTTCTTCAGGTCCTCAATGGTCTTGTAGTAGGGGCTGTAGTCACGGACGGGCCCAGGAGCCTGCTTCTGGTACCAGTCTCGGATCTTCACCTCCAGCTCCGCATTGGCCTGCTCCAGGGCGCGCACTTTGTCCAGGTAGGAGGCCAGGCGGTCGTTAAGGTTCTGCATGGTGGCCTTCTCACCGCCGCCCAGCAGCCCATCGACAGCCCCAAAGCTGCCCCCATAGCCACTGCCAGAGCCAAAGCTGTAGCAGCTGGAGAAGCCGCTGCTGCCCCCGAGGCCACTGCCCAGGCCGCTGGCTGAGCCCAGCCTGCAGGAACCACCACCCAGGCTGCCAGAGAGCCGGCAGGAGGTGCGGGAGGAGCCACCCCCGAGGCCGGAGGAGCCCTTGATGGAGCTGGAGGAGGTGAACTGGCGGATAGTGGTGGTCATGGCAGCGGTGGCAGCGAGAGAGACAGAGGCGCCCTGGTGCTGGCTGCTGGGCTCACGGCCCTTTATAGGCCAGCGAGTGGGCGTGCAGTTACGACAGGCTCCTGCTCTGTTTCCATTCCCCTGGGCTTTCATCACCACTGGCTGCCAGCCAGCTCCCAGGTGGCTCTGTCCCCCCCTCCACACCCTCCCACCAGGGGCTCAACCTGGTTTCTGTGAAGCCCATGCGTGTTCACATATGCGTGTGCGTGTGCGGCGTCTGCTCCCAGCCGTCACCTGTGATTCAGGCAGGCCCTGAAGCTACGCTTTCCCATGACCTAATACGGACAAGAAAGGAAGCTGGGACGTCACAGTCACCCGGCCGCCCAGGCAGCTGACACGACAACCCAGCTACTCCAAGCTGGTCAGAGATGGGGACACGAGGCGGAGTCAGGCAGTGCCCCCAAGGTGCCTTCCCTTTGCTGGGGTGCGTCCTTTCTCCTCACCACGCCCTAGGCCCCATCCTGCCTGGGTTCCCCTTCTGGGACCCCAGTGACACAGTCCTGGGGCTTAGGCTCCCTCTGGCCAGTTCTGTGGTCCTGTCTGGATCCAAGGTCCCCTGAGCTGTCCAGGGCCGGGGTCACACAGAGATGGGTGTCATGGTAACAGGGGGCCCGCAGCGCTGGGCCCCATCCTCATCTGCACCCCCTCCCTCCTGCACCCAGGAGTCAGAGGCACATATGTCGGGTCCTAGGCCCTGGGGAACCTGAGGATGTTGCCCCACAAGAGGCTGCCTCTCCCGGGGCCCCAGGGCGGCCTGCACCCTCCCCCTTCCCAGCCTGGACCCGGGTCCCAGGCCTCCCGCAGCCCGCTGGGAGGAATGTGCTTGTGTTTCCACCGCAGAGGCTTCTACCTCCCCGACAGGCCCGGACAGCCGCAGACTTCCCAGTCCTGGGCAGCTGCCAAGCCACCCAGGCAAGGGGGACGCCCCCCACATCCCCAGCCGGGGCGGGCAGAGCCGGTCTGGTTTCCGGGCCGCCCACTGCCACCCTCTTGTCTGTGCCTGGCTCCAGACTGTTCCCTGGGAAAGCCCTCGGCCTACCCAGCCCTGTCCTTGTGTTCCCTCGCCCAAGCTTGAGCAGGAGCCTCCGTGGCAGGTGTGGTCCAGGAGAGATGTGGGGACTGGAGGACCCAGCATCGATTCTTAGAAACTTCTGTACCAAACCCTCAGCGACTTCGGCCCCAACACAGCCAGCCCCGCCCCTCCCAATGACAAGACGGGACCACAGCTTCAGAAATGTTGCTCAGCAAAGCTTTAATAGCAGAGCCCAGGTGGACCCAGGGGCCCCAGGAAGTGGGGACAGAAAGCAACAGCTCTGCTCTGGGCCCCTGGGGCCCTGGGCTTGGCAGTGCCGTGCTGGTAGCCGGAGGGCCAAGCTGCCCAGAACCTCAGAGCTGAGATGGTGCGGGAGGGCTCAGTGCCTGGAACGGTGCACCTGCTCGCGGGAGGACACCACCCTGCCGTCCTGGACCTCCTCTACAATGGTGTGCACCTGGTGGCTGGTCACTGAGGCTGTCGCGGGGAGGACGGCACAGGGAGCCTCAGGCCCAGCCCCACCCTGCTGCTGCCCCACCAGAGGGCCCCTGGGGGAGGGGGGGGCTCGCACTCACCTTCACGGCTGGGCTGCGAAGCCAGCGAGGAGGAGTACTGTGCAGCCAGGCTGCGGGAAGAGGGCAGCCGTCAGCCCAGGGGGCAGGGGCGCTGCTGAATGGGCAGCGGCTGGGGAGCCCCAGGAAGAAAGGAGAGAGACCGGGGCCGAGGAGAATGGGAAAACAGGCCCGAGGATCAGAGGAGGGCGCAGGGCAGGCAGGAAGAAGGAGGCAGCCGACAGGTGCTTGTGCCACTTTGGTCACCAGGCGGGGTTTACAAGGAGCCGCTAAGAAGTGGCTTCTCGGCGTCTGCAAGGGCCCAAACCACAGGCTGCATTAAAGCAGCGGGACTGGACTGCGCCACCGCTCCGCAGGAACCAAAGGCGAGCGTGTGACCCAGCCTGGGGACCCCAGGGCAGCTCCACGCCCCCACCCCACCCAACCCCTGCTCCCACGGGCACCGCCCTGCTCCTAGCTTGCCCTACTCAGCACCCCATCATCCCAGAAACCAACATCCTCGCCCCCTGCCCACACCCGCCTGAGCTGCTGCTGACTCGGAGTCTTGCTGGCTGCTGTTTGACCTCTGACCTCCGCTCCCGGCCCCGCCCCGCCCCCCCCACCCCGCCCACCAGCAGGGCTCCCCTGGTCTCCCTAGCTTCACCTCCTGAGCGGTTCCCCCAGCCACCCCAACCCTCTGACCTGCTTCTCCCTCTATCGATCATGCTCCTCCGGTTCTCCAAATCCCTCGATGGCTCCCGTTGCCTGGTCCAGATGTTTCCGCTGGCGTCTGAGGTTCCTCCCCCATTCTCTGCCCACCCCAGCAGGTGCCCCGGACCCACTCACTGGGCGTCCTCGCCCTCCAGCAGGCGGCCGTAGGTGGCGATCTCCTGCTCCAGCCGCGTCTTCACGTTCAGCAGTACCTGGTACTCGTGGTTCTGCCGCTCCATGTCACAGCGCACCTGGGCCAGCTGCTCCTCCACGCTGCCGATCAGGCCCTGCAGCTGGGCCAGCTGGGCCCCATAGCGGGCCTCGGTCTCCGCCAGGCTGTTCTCCAGTGACGCTTTCTGTGCCCAAGGGACCAGCAGCGCCGTGAGACTCAGCCAGGACCTGGAGTCCCCGGGGTTGGGTGCGGCCAGCCCAGGACAGGAACTAGGGCAGGCAGGGGATGTGCCACGAGTCGGGGAGGAGGGGTCTGCGAGGAAGCAGGGCCCACCATGCTGAGCGGGACTGCAGCTCCATCTCCAGGTTCTGCACAGAGCGGCGCAGCTCAGTGATCTCAGTCCTGCTGCTCTGTAGGGCCTCGGTGTTGGTGGCCACTTCGCGGTTCAGCTCCTCGTCTGCAAGACGGGGTGGCGTGGGCACTCAGCAGGCTGCCGAGCGCTGGTGAGCCAGCCCCTCTGGGCCTTGCATTTGCACAGAGCTGATCCGTGGCTTCGGAAGGTCCTTCCCGCGGGGGCAGCCTGCCACCTGCGTGGCCCCACCTTGCTCAGGAACCACTCCTCGGCGTCCCTGCGGTTCTTCTCCGCCATCTTCTCGTACTGGTTGCGCATCTCCTTCAGGATGCGGCTCAGGTCCACGCCAGGGGCCGCATCCCTCTCCACGTTGACGTTGCCACCCGACTGGCCGCGCAGGGCAAGCATCTCCTGGGCAAAGAGAAGAGCTGTGCTCACCCAGGGCCATCTTGGAGAGGGACCCTGGGACTCAGGCAGGTGCAGGGGACAGACTTGGGACAGGCCACTCCTCAGCCAGGGAAGGCCAGGCCCCACCTCAGGCCCAGGGGCTGTGGCGTCAGCCGCCTCCCGACAGGTGTCCCCGGGTGCACTGATGCAGGAGGGTGTGAGGACCTCCTATCCCAGACAGGGGTACCAGATGCAAGCATGGGACAGGCCTCCCTTGCAGGGGTGGCCTCATTATTGTCCAGGCTGAGGTCCTGCTGCATGGGAGTCGGGCTCCAGCTCAGCAGCTAGGTGACAGGGACCAGAACTCGTGACCCGCAGGCCGAACCGCAGGTCCCTAACACCACACTCACTGGAACCTGGAGTAGGGAGAGGCTAAGCCCCATGGGCCTGAGGGCCTGGGGTGCATCCTAGCCTCTCTGTACCCGTTTCTTCAGGGACTGACGGGAACAAGAGCATCTCTCCTGGCAGGTGCCACGGCCACTGTAGGCCAGAATAGCTGCCATGCGTAACTGATGGGCTGCCCCGTGTGCCTGCTCCGGCCATCACAACTCTCATTAATTATAATAATTAGCATCCTGCGGTACCTGATTCACTCATTAGCAAGCTAACTGCTGCAATGCCGCCACGCCTCCGGAGCAGCGGAAGTGGCTTTGGGAGGCGTGGCCACCTGAGAGTCAGGGCCAGGGTCAGGGCCAGCAGCCGTCCTGCTGGCCGCCCACCTCCTCGCGGTTCTTCTTCAGGAAGGCCAGCTCCTCCTTCAGGCCCTCGAGCTGCATCTCCAGGTCGGCCCTGGCCAGGGTCAGCTCGTCCAGCACCCTGCGCAGCCCGTTGATGTCGGCCTCCACGCTCATGCGCAGGTTCAGCTCTGTCTCATACCTGATAGCAGGGGTGATGGGGTGAATGTGAAGTGAGCATGGGATACCGTAGGTCCCTATACCTCCTTCCCTGGGGCAGTGGGGTACCTGAACCCCCTTGGTACGGAAGTCATCAGCCCCCAGCCGTGCATTGTCGATTTGCAGCACAAAGCTGGTGTTGTCGATGGTGGCCGCCAGGCCCTGGAGGGCACAGGGGCTCTGTGAGTGACCGTGCTAGGGCCCTCTGCGGCCTCTGAGTCAGGCACCCCGGGGTGCCAGGGCAGATCCAGTACACTGTCCAGTGTGGGCCCGGGCTTCCTAAGCCCCAGGCCCTCCTCAGCCATGTTTCCAGCTCATTGGCCATCTCCTCCGGGAAGTCCTCCTGGACACCCGTCCAGCTGCCTTCTCCCCCTCGGCCCTCTTTCTTTTTTTTTTGGCAGAACCGAGGATTGAACTCAGGCCCTTGCGCTTGCCAGGGAAGCGCTTATTCCACTGAGCCATCTCCCCGGCCCTGGCCCTCTTTCATCCCAGCCCTCAGCTCGCAGGGCTCCTCCTGCCTGCCCTGGACATGGAGCCATCCACATTTGTCCTGTTCCCGCTGGAATGCCGGGTCTGGGCACAGAGCCAGGCTGAGCCGGCCCCGGGCATATCTGTCTAATGAAGGGATTAATTAGACAGTTGATAGACTGATTGATCGGTGAGGTTATGCCTGGCCCTGCCCTAGACCAAGGCAAAGGTTTCTGCTCCCACGAGGTCACAGGGCAGACGAAAGGTGGAAGAGGATGAAGGGGGAGCAGGCGTGAGGGGCTCCCCACTGCAGGACGAGCCATGCCAGCCCCAAGGCCCCTACAGACCCAGGATTCTGCACAACACCCTGGGGTGGGCCAAGCTCAGGGCCAGCCCACTGCCCTCCTCTGGCTTCATTGGGCCCCTCCAGAGCTGCAGGCACCCCAGCTCACACACAAACTGAGACACACAGTGCACTGGGGCCGGGGAGCTGCTGGCTGATCCCCTGAGCTTGGAGTGCTGCCTGGACAAGATCCCAGCTCCCAGCCCAGTCCAGCACCCATCTGATCTGGCGCAGGCTCCAGGAGAAGCAGCAGGAATTCCCTGCCTGGCAGGGACCCCGGGCAGGAACAGGCGAAGCAGTGCCTGGGTCTCCCCAGGCTGGGCAGGCCTCGACCTCCATGCCCTGCTAAGCACCCCTGCAACCCGGGGCCAGCTTGGGGGACTCCCGTAGAAGGCTCATGCTGAAGACCAGCACAGCCCTGAGTCCTCAGGCTCAGAGGGGCCGGGTCTCCTCCCTCACGCTAACTTTCCATTCTAGGAGGAACAGGCATTGCGAGAGAAATTAGCAGAGTACACAGTTTAGGGAGCAAAGGGCCCCAAGGCCAGGTGAAGAAGGCAAGGGCGCCCATCCAGGGGCCGCAGCCAAGGAGATAAGTGGCGAGACGCCTGGCCTCCGTAGCCCTCTGCCCCTGCAGCTCCAGCCCCATCACCCACTTCAAAGGTCTCCTCAGGAAGGACCAGCTCTCCCTGTGACCTCGGGAACCCCATTTCCTCCAGCCTGACACAAGGTTAGTTCCTCAGGGAGAGGTGGAAGAGAAAGAGGCTGGCACCAGCACGGGGGCCGGGACGCCTACCTTGCTCCGCAGGTCCTCAATGGTCTTGAAGTAGGGGCTGTAGTCTCGGGCCAGCCCGGGTCCCTGCTTCTTGTACCAGTCTCGGATCTTCACCTCCAGGTCGGCGTTGGCCTCCTCCAGAACCTGCACCTTGTCCAGGTAGGAGGCCAGGCGGTCGTTGAGGTTCTGCATGGTGGCCTTCTCACCACCGCCCAACAGCACATCCGACACCCCTAAGCTAGAGCCATACCCCCCACCCAGGCTGCAGGCGTAGCCACCCCCCAAGCCAGCTGAGAAGCGGGAGGAGGTGACCGACATGCTGCCACCACTGCCGGCCCTTAGGAGGCTGGGAGCCAGACAGGCACCCCCAACACGGACGGAGGACACCCGGGAGAAGCCCCCACCGGGCGCATACAGGCCCTGGACAGAGCCGGAGGTGGAGAAGTGGCGGGTGCTGGTGGTGGTGGCCATGGTATCCGCAGTTAGATGCAGGATCTGTCCAGCTAGGACCCTGAGTCACCCTTATACCAGGCTAGCAGGAGGCTGGGTCCCTGGCCCTTGAAGTATATGCTAGAACCCACCATGTAATTTGCCAGGGCCTGGAGCTCAGGCTGGCCACCCCAGGGCACCCCAGGCCCATCCCAGCTCAGTGGTCCATTGTTTGTTCAAAACAAAGGTGGTGCTGAGCCGCAGCCCCGGGCTAGGGTGATCCTTGGTCCTTGGCAGCAATTAGGAGCTGAGCTCATTCTTGGGGGGATCCGGAAAGAGCCCTGGACAAGGCTGCACAGGCCCAGGCCTGAGGCCGCAGGGCCGCCCTGCATTCCGGCCTGGCGAGGCCAGAGAGGCCGGTGCCAGCACCCTTGCCCGCACAACTGGCCCAGACAACACCCAGCTGCACCTTGGGGAGCCCCCAGGTCTCTAAATCCACCAGAGGAGATAGCCCAGGCCTGGGGGTCTGAGTCCAAGGCACAGCCATGGCCAAGAACCCCAGGAGCTCTGGAGCCAGGAGTCCCTGCAAGAGCCTCAGTTTCCCCATTTTATTTATAAAACAGGATGAAGCCAGGTGCTATGGTGGCTGCTTATGATCCCAGAGCTCTGGGCAACTGAAGCAGGAAGATGGTAAATCCATACCCAGCCTAGGCAGCGTAGCAAGAACCTCGATCCAAATAAGAGATAAAGGGGCTGGGGAGGTAGCTCCGTGCAGAGCCCTGGCTTTGACCCCCACAGAAGTTAAATGAAACCTGTTGACTTCTACTGGCCACATTTGTAGTCCGTAATGATCACACTCCCTGCGCGGAGCTGGCTCGTGTGCAGGACAACTCCAGTCCTTTCTTCTCCCCTTCCCTTCCCTCCGTCACCGCCTCCCTTTATTTTGTCAGCATCAGATTCATAATCCCAGCACTCTGGAGACTGAGGCAGGAGGATCACTGCAAGTTCAAGGTCAGCCTGCACTACATAGTGAGAGCCCGAAAATAGGGAGGGAGGGAAGGAGGGAGAGAAGGAAGGAAAGCAGGCAGGCTCAGGCCACGGCTAGTGCCGAGGTCCTGAGCTCCATCCACAATCTCCACACACAAGGCCAGGGGGATTCCTGTCTCTCGAAGGCACTGGGGACGTGGCAGGGATGGGGGGATGTCGGCCACACGCAGCCAGACCAGAGGTGAGGGTGCACTGGGATCTGAGCCCACCCACTGCCCTGCACCTCAGGGGCCCCAGGGAAGGGGGATCCTAGCCAGGGTGCCCCAGGGTAGGGCCACATCCAGTCCCGCCCGCCAGAGAAGGGAGCAGCTCCACCCTGCAGGGAGATTAGCAGCGCAGTGCTAATGATTTAGGCCCTGCCAGAGCTGGCTTCATCACAGGCAGCACCTGCCTGCCCGAGTAAGGAGCCGGGAGGCCAGGCCCACGGGCCGGGCAGGGCCAGGAGGAGGCTGCGCGGGTGGCCTGGGCACAATGCCTGGTGAGGGACAGGCCGGGGAGCCAGCCAAGGCTTCCAGGAAGCTCCAGGACGGGAAGGGCACCACCCTCCAATGCAGGGACACCCGGGGAGACCCCTGCCTCCCCTGCCTGTGCCCCCCCAAGTTCTAACCCCCTACCCTCCGCCCCTGGTCAGGCTTCCTGGGAGGGCTGCTCTGCCCTGGGTCTCAGTCTCCAAATTTCTCCATTTCCCCCCTCTGTCCCATGGGAAACCCCGGGCGAGGGAGCCTGGGCACGGCTCGTACACCGCAGGGGCACCAGGGGGTGAGGGGACGTGAGCCTTGCCCACCCCAGCACTGGAGGCCTCCACCCACTCTCTGTGGAATCTTCCTCTTCCTCTGCCAGCTGTGTTGCCCGGCTCCACCCACTGAAGCTCCTGGGTGGCCACCCTGGGCTAGGAGACAAGACTCATGGGGACCGTGTGATGCCCAGGGTGGCAGCTGTGGTCCCCACCTGTTCAGCCACTCCCTCTGCCATTTCCAGGGTGGCACCCGAGTGGACCTGAGACTGCTGAGCTGCCTGGCCTGGCAGGGACACCCGCCTTTCCGGGAGGGCCTGGCTCTAGGAGCCTGTAGGGGATGCAGCCCTGACAAAGGACTGTATCCCCCTCTCCTCCCTTCCTTCCCCATCTCCCTCTTTCCCTTCCTGTCCCCACTTCCTTCCTGAGGGACCTTGCTGCAAGGATGAGGAGCCAGCAGCCCGGCAGGCTCCCTACCTCCTCACTCTGCCCTGGGGGCAGCTGCGGGCCTGAGACACAGGGGCTGCAGGCCCTCGCCTCAGACCCCTCCATCCTCTCCTCTGTGGCTGGGCTTCAAGGCTCCAATGGCTTCCTCTGGGACGCTGTGGCAGGACCTCCCTCGAGTGGGACCCGTGCGCAGGACCCCAGCTGGGCCTCACACCCAGGGCCCTGAGCTCCCCTGGCACCGCGCCGGGGCTCATTCAAGGACAGGCAGAGCTTGGGAGCTGCCCAGTGTCCTGGCCACCTGTCACAGAGCCCCAGGGCCAAAGCAAGCCACTGGGACCCAGGCTTCAGGCATCTGAGGCCAGCCTGGGCTACGCAGTGAGTTCAAGCTCCACCCGGAATACTTAGCAAGGCCCTCTCTCGGAAAACCAAAAGAAACCATTAGGTGAGTGACGAGGATGTGTGTACCGCGTCCGGCGTGGGAAGTGAGGCTGGCGCTTGCTGCCCACACACTCAGGGCCACTCCCTCCAGGGAGGGAAGCGACTCACAGGCAGGAAGCACGGCCCAGCGATCGTGCTCAGGGGAAAGACTTGAGCGCTGCTGGTCCTGGAGCGGCAGGGTTTCCTGAAAGTACAATTTGAAAATCCAGACTTCCTGGTCTCTGTGCTAATTTTTTTAATCACTCCTATCATTAGGCCAGGCATGGTGGTGCACACCCCCGTCATCACAGCCCTCAGGAGGCTGAAGCAGAAGGATCGCCCAGAGTTTGAGGCCAGCCTGGGCTCCATAGGAAGAGACCCTGTCTCAAAAACAAACATTCTTTGCAGGAAGCCCTAGGGCAGGGCCAGCCTGGAGGGACCTTATGGACCAGGAGCGGGAAGAGGCCTGCACAGACCCCAATCCTTCCTGGCCCAGCGGGGAAGGGTTCGAGGACCATCCCTGCCCTGTGGTCCGCACTGCAGGCCACCTTCAGCCGGTGAGGCTGAGGTGCAGCAGATGTGAGGGCCACAAGAGCTCTGAGCCCTGGGTCCCAGAACCTGGGGTCCAGTCAGCACTGGGCGCCCTGGACCCCTCAATCTAGAGAGGGAAGTGGGTGTGGCCAGCTCTGGGAGGAGGGCGAGGGCTCTGAGGAGCTCCCAGAGGCCTCCAGGGCAGAGAGAGTGGGAACCAACCCCTGCCTCCTGCAGGGGCCGTGAAGCCCTGAGGACACCAGAGCCTCACCCCCAGGGGACCTGGGGTTCTCAGAACCTCATGGAATAAACAAGCCTTGCTGTAAGCCCCAAGTTTGTCATAACTTATTACAACAGCAGTGGGGAACCAGCATACCTCCTGGGCCCTCATCCCAGCCCGGCATCCACTCCCACTCGTAATAAAACTGCCCAGCAAGCCAGAGGCGGTGGCGCATGACTGTCATCCCAGCACTCGAGAGGCTGAGGCAGGGGGATGGCAGCGAGTCTGAGGCCAGCCTGGGCTACAAAGTGAGCTTAAGGCCAGCCTGAACTGTGTAGCAAGGCCCTGTCTCAAAAAGACTGAAACAGGGGGCTGGGGAGATGGCTCAGTGGTCTAAAGCACCTACTTGGAACAAGCTTGGCAAAGCACAGGGACCGCGGTTCAATCCCCCAGCACCACATGCCAGCCAGCCGCGCCCCCTGGTGGGCTGAGCTGGCCACACACACACACCACACACACACACACAAATAAATAAATAAATAAATAAAATTAAAAAAAAAAAAAAAAAGACCAAAACAAAAAAAGACAGAATTGCGGAGCAGGGGCCGGTACCCTGGGGAAGAGCGACTCTTTAGTGCCTGGGGGCAGTTCCTGTCCGCACCCTGTGCCCAGCACCTACTCATCACATTCACTGTGTGGCTGTCACCGAGCTGGGTACTCAGAACTCAGCACTGAGTCAGCCGGGCCCGCCCTGAGCAGCGTACAATGGCACTGCCGTGACAAGGGTGACCAGGCCGCCAGGACGGCTCCAGAGGAGGGACACGCAGCGGGCATAGCCGGGTGGGGCAGGACAGCGCCAGGTGTGCCCGGGCAGCTCCAGCCTTCTGGCAGCCCACCGTGGGGCCCGGGCGCGGAGGACGCTGCAGGCATCTCTGCCTCAGCCTGGTCCCCAAAGTCCCGGGTTGGAGACAGGCACTCAACAAACCAGGGAGGACGCGTCCTCTAGAGAAATACAGTAGGGGACACACATGTCCTGCTGGCCAGCGAGGGCCTCCGTTAGTGACAGCTAAGGGAGGAACTGAAGTTTGGAAGGCGCTAGCCCGGGCGGGAGAGCGCCCGTCCATCATCCCAGCTCTCAGGAGGCTGGGACAGGAGGATGGCCACGAGCTCAAGACCCTGTCTCAAAAAAAAA